ATAATTGAACTTTAATTTAAATAAATGTCGTGGTAGAGGAACAAAAATCTGAAAACATAGTTCTACAGTTCCCATCAGCCAGAAAGTACCATGATGGATTCTCATATTCATACCAGATTCTCCTACTTTTTTTTATTTTAATGTCTTGGTGTTTTTTAACAATTTATCAGATATTTATATTATATAAAAAATGCTTACCTTAAAAAAAATCCATTGCTCATAATCGTTTAAATCCGCTGTGATTACCGCAATAATACACGCAATTACAAACTATCACTTTCATTATCTTTTCTGAAATTAAAAACATTTAGTCAATATTTAAAATACGTAAGGTGCTTTCTTCATATTCTTAGCCTTCTATCATCTAGTTTCTGAACAACTTAAGTTTTTAAATCAATATAAGGTTGAATGTTCGAATAAATGAACTTTGATGGTACACAAGGCAAATATCGAACACAGTATTTAATTAAATCTTGCCCAAGTACTTTCGATCACAAGATCATCCTCAGGGGCATTTCGTCAATTGTGGCCTATCCAGCAATAACCGAATGTCATACATGTAAACTGGGACATAACAAACACACTAAAGACAAACAAACACTTGAAAATTTAAATTGGAGAAGCTACATTTTTATATTATAGAAGCCGGAGACAGAATGGCTCCCAGCCTGGCGGAGGCGGAAATCAATTTCCCACTTCAATGGCTTCCAGTATTAAGTCACATTCCACCTCCACATTTTACGACGAGTTGATGCACTTACACGTGAATACAAAAAGATCATGAACAATATAAACCTGCCGATCCACCAAGATACCGAGGATGCACGAAATACCCGTCTACGTTTTAGAAAACCACCAATGAAAACGGCAAGAATGATACATGAGGAGTTCAACATCACGAATGCATGGCAAAATTACATGCCCTGTATTACCCACAAGCCACCAGGTTTTGATCTCCCACGTAAAACATGGTCCACTCTAAACAGGATCCGAACCAGACATGGCAGATGTGCATACATGCTACATAAATGGGGAGAGAATCCGTCTCCCCAATGTGACTGTGGGAAGGACCAAACGATCGACCACATTATTGAAGAGTGTCCCTCAAGATCCTATAACGGTAGCCCTGAAGACTTCCTGTTTGCAACTTCAGAGTCAATTGATTATGTTAATACACTTGATGTTTGTTTGTAATTATTTAAAGTTTGTCATATACCTATATTACTAGTGTTTGTAATTTTGTTCTAAATGTGTTCTAATTGCCATACGATAAATAAATAAGAGCATCCAGCACAACTAGATCCAGGATGCTCAAGATGGGATGCAATGGAATTATTTACAGGAGGCCTATGTTCAGCAGTGGACTCAAAACCGCTAATGATATTGATCATCTTATTTTTGGACATAGACATCTCCCAACTCCTTTTATCGATCTATATCCTAAACAATATAATTGATCGTTTCAAGTGGAGGCAACGTGTTATGTTTATAAATACTGATCTAAGTTGCTGTGCTAAAGAGAAGAAGAAGATTAATTGTAGAGAACGAAAAAGGACCTTTAGAAACATGTGTCATTTGATCCCCTTATTGCTATGTACAATGGTAATGATAACATTTATACGTTCTTGGTATTTAATTCTTTAGGGACAAATTATTGGTTAAAAATCTCCTCATTGAAAATAAGATTAAGAAGTCTACGAACACAAGAACTAAAGCTTAATGGCCAAGCACAGCAAAGGGAGTTCATTGAATGGAGATTTTTGAAATCAACAACTGGATGTTAGCTTAGGATGTTTGTGAATCATTAAAATTGCAGAATTTGTAGTTCCAAGAAATCACATGTGACTGTCAAAACAAATTTATCCACATTTTGTCACTGTTTGGTGGGGATTCGGAGGCAACATTGGACCATACTTCTTTGAAAATGAGGCCGATCAAGCAGTGACTGTTAATGGTACTTGATATCGCAACATACTAGCAGAGTTCTTTCTGCCTATCTTAAATAAAATTGATGTGAAACAGGTGGTTTCAACAAGACGGTTTCATATGCCATACAGTTTGTGAAACAATTCAATTACTGCATGACACATTTCCTCGTCGTGTACTCTCTTGCTTCGGTAATCAGACTTGGCTTCTTAGATCATAGGGTTTAACACCATTAGGCTTATTTTAAAGTCAAAGATATATAACAACAAGCCTTCAACCATCTGTGCATTGAAGGAGGAAATTCAAGGCTGCATCAACGAAATTCAGCAACATTTATGCAAAAGAGTGAGAATGTGCCCAAAAAGCCATGAAAGCTATTTGCCTTCTGAGCTATCTCATACATAATTTTATCCTATCTACTTTATTATTTAATAAAAATTACGAAAGCAGTGTTTTCTATTTAATTAAAATATTTCTTAAATTTTAGGACACCTCTTAAAATAAAACTTATAATAATACAATAATAAACAATAATTACAATAATAAAAATAAACGCTAACTTAAGAAAAGTTAAAGAATATAATTCTGTTGGGAAAAAATTCAATATGCTCTGGTGACAGTTGGAATAGAAATCTTTGAACCACTTGGGGAAAAAACAAAACCTTGGATGACAGTAAAAATTCTAGAACTTATGGAATAATGAAGAAAACATAAACCAAAAGATCTGAGTAAATACAAAAAAATTCACAGAAACAAAAAAAAAATCCGAGACGGAAAAGAGAGATGGCTCTCCGACAGATTAAATGAAATAAAAGATGTGGATAAAAAGGATGATATATTTAATTTACAAAAAATAATGAAAGAAACTACAGGTTCTAGGAATAGCTTGAGAACAAAAATATCCTTACAAATGATAAAGTATATAATGTATATTCATGTGAAGTAGAGATCATATCATTGAAATAATATTACCTATCAAACGATGAAAACTTAAGTTCTTGGGACACGATTGAGCAAAAATAGTCATTATTAATCCCAGCCGTCAAGTAAGAACTTGATGGCTGGTTTGGATACATTAGGGCAGACCTATTTAAAGCAGCTGTCATCAGGATCCGCATAGCCATGATTTTTTCTAACCTTCGATAGGAGATGGAAAAAGAAAAAGTCTTACCTTATTCTTGACCACAAAATTTTATCATCTAGAAAATTTTTTATAAGAGTGCAAGCAAATTTTAAGTGTTATATACAATTTTTTGAAGAGCCTGTCAGATTAGATTGCATTTTGTTGATTAAAGACAAAAATAAAATTATTTTATTATATTTATTTATTCGTTATACTTTTATAATTTACATAACGATATTAAGATATTTACAAATTTAATAAATACTTATAGATAGATGGTTTATTGGTAATAAATTAATACAAAAGTATTTTTTACAAGTCAAATAAAATAAAGTAAATGTCAGTATAGTTAATATGCACACATAAATATAAACACAAAACATACATACATTGTTTTAAATTATACTGTTAACAATTACAACAAATTAAAATTGGAAGTAAAATACTCCTCATATGTAAAAAAAGCATTCACTATAAGGTAACTCTTAATTTTTGCCTTAAACTGATGAAAATTAAGAGCTTTTATTCTAGCTGGCACTAAGTTGTAGAATTTGATGGCTAAATACCTTGAACCATTTCTGGATCTCTCAAGACGGCTAAATTCTGGTATAAGATTATATTGTTAAATCTGGTGGGATAGTTGTGAAAATCTACATGCGCATTGTATTGGCTGAGATTTTGTTTAATGTGCAACAGACACTGCATAATGTATACACAAGGTAAAGTTAAAATTTTTAAAACTCCAAAGGAGTTTCTACAGTCTGCTCTATAAGAGAGCCCAGAGATAATACGAATTCTTTTTATTTGTTTTGCAAACACGTTATGGATATGACAAGAGTGACCCCAGGAGAGAATAGCATATGTCAGATGAGAATGAAAATTACTATGATAAGCTGTTAAAATAGTTTCCCTGGAAGTCACTTGTACAAGGTTCCTGAAGAGAAAAAGTTAACGGGAAAGCTTTTTCGATAGATTAACTATATGTTGTTCCCAGGGTAATCCTGCATCCAAATATATCCCCAGAAACTTCGCTCCGGTTACACATTGTGGTAGAGCAACGTTTTCGACACAAGTGTTATTTCTTAGAGCAAAGTTAACACTTTGTGATTTAGAGTTGTTCAAAGAGAGACGGTTAGATAAAAACCAATTGAATAAGTTTTTTTTCAAATGTTTGGTAATCAAGGGTGTCGAATTCAGAAGGATAAGAGCTTGCATAGAAAGTAGTGTCATGAGCAAATAAAATAGTGTTGACTATTTCATTATGAGAGTACACTAGATCATTAATATAGATAGAAATAATACTGGACCCAAAACCGAGCCCTGAGGGACACCAAACAACAAAGATTGTTTTTGAGAATCACACTGGTTGAAGTGAACATATTGATCACGATTTGATAGATATGAATCAATTAGTTGAATAGCATCACTATGAAAATTATAATACGGAAGTTTTTCTAAGCAGAATACTATGTGTGACACAATCGAAAGCCTAAGTAAGATCTAAAAACGATGCAAGAGTATCAAGATATTTCTCAAACCCTTCCAAAACATTGCTAGTGAAATTATCAATAGCTAAAGTTGTTGTTTTATTTTTTCGGAATCCGTACTGGTTTATGGCAAACAGTTTATTAGATTCAAAATGTAGATTAATTCCAATCTAGGAAATCCACCGCAATACTTTATTTTCCTCTTTAGTCACGATACTTTCCGTGAGTGTTTTAGCATTTTTGAAGATAAGTTCTTATAGGACATATCCAATACATTTGCCAGTATCGCCGCAGCTTTATTCAGTGACTTTTTATTCACTATATTCACAGCTTACCATATCTAAAGGTATGTCTCAATTTATGATATCACTGGTTCAAATTTTTAACATTTATACCACAGGGGATTAAAGTAAATAAATAAAATGCCTTTGTTATTTATTAAAGTTTTTATTAAATTTCTCATCTTGGCATTGTTATTGGCCCATAATTAGGTTGACACAATTAACAACATTAAATTTAAATTTCATTTACAAAATAGGATAAGAATTGTCTTTATTAATTTGGCATACGTTATGCCCTCTTGCAACTTTTATATATCCATCCTCTCCCCAGTCTGTTCCCCAAGAATTTTTTAGCAGAATGTACTCTTCTGCGTAACCTACAGCAACTAAAGCATGATTGAGTCTGGTTCCACAATCCCTGTTATCATAAATGCCTCCTGCATATAATGACCACATGTTTGAAATAGCTGAGACAGAGATTGGTCCCACGGTAGCTAAAAATAATAAAAAATTAAATGAACAGAGACGATTTTTGCAATTTGCAATAATATATACATACATAATCATAAAGACGATTATGTTAATTAACTTTTATTAAAGATTGTATTTCATAATACTATTAGTTAAAATTTTAATTTTTTAATAGAGCTTCAACATCAAAAAGTTTAAGAACTGCTGATTTAGTTATACGCTTACCAATAGCAGAAATTAAATCTTCCTCGGTTGGATTTAGATGTTTGTACCCAGAGAGAGAAGTAATCGATTTTTTAACATTTTTTTGACACATCTGATCGTCATCTTCAATATATGGATAGTCTGCTTCAGAGCTAATACCATCTGTTTGAACGTATTGAAAAGCTCTCACTTGATCACCACCTCCACAACCGTCATTATCAGAGCAGTCGATGAGATTTTGTGTACTCAAAGGAATTTTTTGTTTTTTGTGAATTGCTGCTTGTCCCTCTAGAGCTCCAACCTAAAAAAACATGGTTTAATATTAATATTGATGGTCTCTAGATTCGTAGAATAAAAGAGGTAAATTAAAACAGAAAAAGCAGTAGCACAGATAACAAATTGAGGACAATAGATGAAAAATATTAAGAAATCAATAGAACAATATAATAATATTAACGAGAAATCTGAGGGTTAAGAAACCTTACTGAAATTGGTCTTCCTCCCAATGTTGCTAAATTATTAGCTCTTGGTCCCAAATTTGGATTATCTCCAACCCTGAAGGATTATTTAATTTGTAACCATTTATCTGATGTTGAAAACATTCTTACAGTTTCCGAAGCTGCAGATATCACTCAATTAATATTTTACTAATGCTCCAAAAAAATCACACTCAGAAATTGATTGAGCCTATATGGAAACTAGAACTTTTCTAAATGACCATCCTGAACTATTGGTACTTTTAAGGGATAAAGGATAATAAACTTTTGTATAAAGAGCAATACATGGATCTCAGCCAATTACTTTGAATAATGAACAATATTATCAACCGTTACCCAGAAATTCCACTAATACGTTTACTTCCAGAATCAATAACCACATTTCCAAGTTAAAAAGATCCAATCTTATCACGGATGTTGTAGCTAGATCCCTTAATCCCATCTCAATCTCATCTCTCCAAAATTTTACTGTTTGCCTAAAGTCCACAAACCTTAATTGTGCATGCGTCCCATAGTATTATCCATTCTAAATCAATCTCAATCAATATCTTAGACTACTCCAAGTTTAGTGATTTTATCAACAACTTCCAACTACCTTTAGGGTTTCAAGTAGTAAGTTTTGATGTAATGTCTCTCTTTATCAACTTATCTTTACCTGTTATGCTTACCTATTTACATAATCACTGGAATCAAATCCAACCCCACTGCCCCTTTGGACGGAAAACTTTCGTGGAACTCACCAAGTTGGTGTTTGACACCAACCATCTGGTGTTCAATGATAGATTTCACCTACATATTTTTGGTACCCCTATGGGATCTTTTATTTCTCCCCTTTTGGTTTGTTTCGTCTTGGATGACCTTATTGTAGATAGACTCAGTCACTTGGATTACAACATTCCTTTTGTTAAGAGGTATGTTGACGACTTGATCCTTGCCGTACGCACTGATCAAATTACTCACACCCTTTCTGTCTTCAATGAACACAATCCTCACTGCAGTTCACATGCGAGATGGAGGTAAATAACACCATACCGTTCCTTGACGTGTTAATTGTACGAGATGTAGACAACATCCTAAGAACCAAATGGTTTAGGAAGAGCGTTGATAGCAATCGCTTCCTTAAATATTATTCCTTTCATCCTAAAGGATTTGAACACAACCTCGTACAGGGATTAGCCTTAAGAACTTAGTTAAGAATTCTAATCCAAATTTTCTTAGATTAATAGATATCTTTTTTCTACTGCAAGGTCCTTACTTGATCCGACTTATACAAATGTGGGAGATTTTCATATTAACATACTTGACAACAATGAACTCCACCTTGATGAGGAATCCACATCTGAGTCTTCTCCTAGATATTGCTCATAACTCTACTTTTCACAGGTTACCGAGAAACTTAATAAATTGTTTAAACCCCTATCTACTAAAATAGGCATCAAAAATTGTAAAACAGCTGGAAATCTCTTTTCATGTACCAAAACACCTTTAGATATTTGGGAGAAATCAAATGTAGTATATAACATTACATGCAAAGACTGCCATTTTAAGTATATTGGCCAAACAAAAAGAACCCTTAAAGGGCCTGTTATATCTTATAAAAGCGATATCAGATGCAACAAGCAATCTTGTGCTTAGTACACACTCTATCTCTCTTAACCACCAAATCGACTTTGAGAATATTAAATCTCTAGGAACTGAGAATAATTTCTATAAGAGATATTTCCTGGAGATGTGTCACATATTAAGGGGAAAAAACTCCATGAACAGACCTTTTTTTATAAATTATTTAATAGTTTAGTATGACCCAATTATTTGGTTTAATTTATTTTCCTATTGTCCATCCTTCCCTCAAAGGCAACTGCTCAAAGAATACTTTGAAACCACTTTTTATAATTAACGATAAAAGGTGCCGTGAGATCAAATTTTAATAAAAAATAATTTGTTTATGCAAAAGCATATTAAATCAATTAAAAACATAAAAGGTTAAATTTGCAAATCGTAATAATATATAATATGAATTATACATATTCCCCTAGAAAAAGCCTTTATTCTGGTAGACTACAACCAGATCAACAAAATTTTCGTTTAATGAGAAATAAATACGTAAGATGAACTTCCTCAAGGTTAGAATAAAAAAAACCAATTATTTTATATTATTGTTCTGAAGCTATTTTCTTGTGGCATTGTAAATTAATTACTAATAAACTGGGAATAAGCCACAATTAAAGATAAAATACGTTTATTGACGTTTCAATTTCCATTTTATTTTATCTTTAATTGTGGCTTATTCCCAGTTTATTAGTCATTATTTTATATTAGTTATTTAAAACTAAAGTAGATACTTACTGTACTAAACGCCCAACATGATCCACAAAAACCTTGTTCTCTTACAGGTAATACTGCCCCTTCGTTCCTCCAATCCACAGATGCGGGCAAATTGACATTTGGATCGGCAATATACACTCCTAAACTCTCGTTCAATTTGGGCCTGGAGGCAGCTTGACGTGTTAATAGTGCCTCAAACTCTTCTTTGGTCCAATCGGCGAATGGTGTGACACCCTTAAACCATCCTACTTCTCCTTTGGTGTACATTGCGTTGTGCTCTTCGATTTCGCGTAGGTTGTCTTGGAAAATTTGGAATCTTAGTTTGTCTTCTGTGATTTTATATTGTTTGGAATGTCGTGCCTTAAATCGTGATTTATTGTTATAAATTGTGTACAATTTATATAAAAATACAAAGCACGTGGTGTTCGTGTGTATTAAGGTATAAAAAAAGCGCTTATTAAAAGCTTAAAAATTTTTTATTATAAAGAAGATCTTTTCGGAATTGTATCATTCCATCATCAGTTTACTAAAAGAGAGAGTAAAAATACCAATATTAAAAACAACAAAGTTAAAATTTGAACATACAAAAAGAAAAAGTTGGTTTTTTACTACTTACATAAAAAGTTGTTAAAAACATTGTGTGGCCACATAAAAAACATTCGATGGACATCTGGATTTAAAAATTAATAATCTTCATGTTAATTATTCAGGTAAATGCAATAGACTCTTGACTTGTGTAATATAAAAAATGAAACTGGGAGCATCTTATATGACCCCCTGTAGTTGGTGAGGTTTTATTGACTTACATTACCTCTGATCTGTGTTGGAGTCTAGGGCTAACTGATAGAAAGATGGTATGAAAAATCAGTTAGTACCCGTCAATGTCAAGAGGAATGATGTGGTAGGAGCAAAGTCATTGTGCTTAAGTTTGTGAGTAGGCAGTTTTTAGTGAAGAAATGTGTTTTGTGTGTAGTAGGATCATTAGCAATTTTTGGTATTTTAAAAAACTGATGGTGTAACAAATCTCCTAAGTGTGTGCAACATGTGTTGTGTATGTTGCCTACCCTGTAGGTCGCTCTGCGTCCTGTATTATTTGTGATGTGCTATGCGTCCTACTAGAAAAGGGCCATACGGATTATTAGTTTTTTTTTACTCAAGAGGTTATAACGTTTCATGTTTTTGTTTCTTTTATATAAGTCTTTTTATCTAAGTTTGTTCATGTAAAAACAGTGTTAAATAAATACCGTTAGCATTGAAAATATATTCTTTCCCTAAGAAAAATAATTAACGAACTCGACGATAATTGAAGGGGTAAAATAACATCATAATCCCCTTATAATGGAAGAATATAAATCAATGGGTGACTGCGATGTAAAATAAATCGGTGTACCAAGGTAGGGAAAAAATTTATGTAATTTAAGTGGTTAAAATTAATAAATCATTTTAAATGGGATGAAAAGAATGTTATTACCTAATTGTTTCGTTGTATTAAATGAGTATATATAAAAGTTGGATTGTAATTTATGGAAGATGAGTCGAGGAAAAGAAAAAGAAAAAGAAATAAACGAGAAAGCAAGAAAAGGAAATAGAAGGTGAATGTGACGATGTTAGCTGGGGATATTGAAACTGATTGTGATAAGAGATCGATAGATGTAAAATACAAAAAAAAAGAGGTTAATCTTTGTAAATGGGTATATTTATTTAAAAAAAACCCTTAAAAGGGTTTCAACCTTTACATCGTCAACTTTTTTCATAGTTCACACTTCACAATACTGCCCTACTTTCTCTGCCTTATTTTCCTATAAAAACGTCAACACCTTAATCCTACACAATCTTGTGTTTCTTTAAACACCCATTCTCTACAATATCGCCACACCTTCCTCTCACAAATTTCTGACCCCAATTTTAACTTCAGAACCATCCACATCCATCATACCATCATATCACTATCTTATCCACTCTTCACTTCTACATCACATTCCTGTCAATTCTGTTCTCTTTCATTATTTCTTGGTCAATTCATATATTAAACATGTATCCAATAGTTTTAATTTAGTAATCACTCAAACATTATCTAACAATTTATTAAAATTCATAATCTACCATATTACAAAGAATCCTTATCTACCATTGTCCACCTTCTCTCGGTCAACAACTTAGTAGCACACTTATACAACAAATTTCAGGTTTCTACAAACTGAATTTAATACCACCAAAATAGATTTTGTTCAGGGTGCTAGATACTTTAAGTATAAAGGACCTCTATTATCTCTAATTGTTGATCAACTCCTTTTCTCCTTCAACCGCCCCCCCTCCTTTTCTTCAGTCATTTCCTTTATTTTATTCTCATTAGTCTCTGAGGAACCCAGCCTCTTCAATTTTAAATTCAATCACATATGTTACTACTTCAATTTCTTCAGCCTGTAGATTTCCATCTTACTAAACTTAATTTTATTAATTTTTCACCATAGGAGCAGTCTTAAATAAAGTCGTTTAAATATGAGGTCTGATATTAGCTTCAAATATTTGTTATTTAATTTTTACCTTGTTCTAGATGTGTTAAACATAAAAGGATAAATTTCATATATATAAGCTAACCCAATATTAAATACACTTTAGACCACATTCCATACGACGAAAAGCAACATAAGTTGCCTAAGGCACAGGTCATTCTATTAATCATGACTATAAAACCATCATTGATTTGACATCTTTTATACCCTAAATTAATAAATAAAAAAGTTTTTAAATCCCAACACCTAGATTGTTGTTATTTTTTTAAAATCATCAAAACTTGTTGAATCTTTTGGCTGTAGTAATACTAAGTACAACTATTATAGTTTTTGTTGCATTGACATTCTGTTATCTTCATCCTTCAAAAGTATCTTGTCAATCAGTTCCACGCTGTTCTCCGAGTGTAGAGGTTCCCTCTCACCGGCTCTGGAACCCGATTGAGCCATGTGTTACCTATAGTCAAATTTAATTTAATACTGAACATCACAGTTATTTTACAACACAATGCACAATATTTCATAACTAAATGTAATTTAAAGGGTTTTTTACCCTAGTATTTTGGTGGCTCAGGCATTGTGACCTAGTAAGTATAACCATCTTTTGCTTTTCAACCATAGTCAAAATTTCACAATCTCGTTTGTTTTAACTAAATGGTTTATACTTATTTTTAGGAATTTTTCGATTTTAAAAACCTGATGATGGACTGTGTGGTCCGAAAACGTTTGTTTTATTGATGTGGCCCTTTTAAGGGTTTTTTAAATAAATATACCCATTTACAAAGATTAACCTCTTTTTCGTTATACGTGGTATAGAGCAGCTACAGGAACTTTTCCTTGTGGATTTTGTAAAATGAATATTTATAAGAAAATGTGTATGATTGTATGTGTATGATTAAATGAGTATATATAAAAGTAGGATTGTAATTTATGGAAGATGAGTAGAGGAAAAGAAAAAGAAAAAAGAAATAACGAGAAAGCAAGAAAAGGAAATAGAAGGTGAATATAACGATGTAAGCTGGGGATATTAAAACTGATTGTGATAAGAGATTAATAGATGTAAAATGAATATTTATAAGAAAATGTGTATGATAAGTGAGATGGTAGTTATTGGAGAGGATGTGTAGTTGGATATTGGCAAAGGGGTGATGTTAGTGTATTAATGGTGACAAGTATAGAGTTAGGTATGAATGATTATGTAAGTTGAAATTTAGCTATGGGAAATAAAAAGAAATGTAGAAGTGAAGTAAAATTGGATGTATAGTTAAAAGAGAGAAAGTTAGATTAGGAGAATAATTGTCGATGAAGTGGGACGAAGTCTCTGTTGATGCTGGTGTGACGATTTAAGCTTTTAATAAGCGCTTTTTTTTATACCTTAATACACACGAACACCACGTGCTTTGTATTCAACAGGTATACTAGCCACTCCTGGATATCTCCACTTCATGGTTTGTTCCAGTTTCACTTTTAAAAATATATAAAAATACATAGAGGCATTATATCAGCATCTGGATATTGATTGCCGTTAAAATTTGTTTATTTTATTGTGTTGTTTCAGTACTGTGATAAAAAACACGTATGTTGCTTGAAATCCACACTGGACCATATCATTTTAAATTATTTTTTTAGGATGGATACAAAAACGTTCTACGGGAAAAGCAGTAAATATCTGTTATTGTTTGTAAAAGTTCCCAACAAATCCGAGAAATCCAAAGACTCTGACTTTGAAGAGAGTGATAATGAATTTTCCATAGGTATTCAGACATCCACTACATAAAAAAGGAAACCAGTTAGAATGTGAAAACTACCGTGGAATTACGCTGTTGAATGCGGCATACAAAATAATGTCCAATATAATGTATGAAAGACTTAGACCATACGCTGAAAAAATAGTTGGCAAATACCAATGTGGCTTCTGTAGACAGAAGTCAACAATAGACCAGATATTTGTTATGCGACAGATCCTTGAAAAAACAAGTGAATATAACATCGACACACATCATCTCTTCATAGACTTCGAAAGCGCATATGACAATATAAACCGAGAATTCCTAATAAAAGCAATGAAAGAATTTAATATACCAACACAGCTAATAGAATTGATAAAAAAAACACTAAAAGTAGAAAGTAAAATCTGGATACAAAACGAATTAACGGAAACAATAGATGTGAAGAAGGGACTACGCTAGGGAGACGCTCTATCATGCATATTATTCAACATCATACTTGAAAAAATAATAAGAGACACAACAGTAAATACCCGAGGAACAATAATTAATAAAAGCGTGCAAGTACTAGCATTTGCAGATGATGTTGACATAATCGCAAGATCAAGAAGAGAAATGATAGAGGCATTCACTCAAATAGAACAAGCTGCAAAAAATAGTGGTCTTAAAATCAATCAGACAAAAACAAAATATATGCCTGCAAATAAAAACGCACAAATAAGGTAGCTGCCAAATTTAACAATAGGAGAATACAACATTGAGGCGGTAAAAAACTTTACATACTTAGGATCCCTAGTTACGTCTGATAACAACGTTGCAGAGGAAGTGAAGAGGAGAATATTTATTGCCAATAAATGTTACCATGGCTTAATTAGGCAACTAAGATCAGATAACGTCTCCAGAAAAACAAAATGCCAAATATACAAAACCTTAATAAGACCGGTACTCACATACGGTTCAGAAATCTGGACACTCTCTAAAAGGGAGGAAACTTTATTAGCCACCTTTGAAAGAAAAATCTTGCGACACATATATAAGGGCACAAAAGAAAACGGGATTTGGCGGAGAAGGTATAACTTTGAACTATACAACATATACCAGGATCCGGATATCATAACATTCATTAAAATAGGAAGGCTACGTTGGATTGGACATGTGGAAAGAATGTAAGAAGGCGAAATACCAAACAAAATATTCAAACAAGTGCCAGTAGGAAAAAGAACAAGAGGAAGACCGAAGCTGAGATACGTAGAATAAATAGAAAATGATATAACAACATTAAAAATTAAAAACTGGAAAAAAAAGCACGAAACAGGTCAGAATAGAGAAGAACCCTTGAACAGGCCAAGACCCAAAAGGGGTTGTCGAGCCAGTGATGATGATGATGATAGGTATTCAAATATCAATCGATCCAGGATCAAATGAAATGGAAAATGAAGACGATTTGTACGAAGCAAATTTAGACCAGGATACCAATTTAGATTTAGACCAAGATGAAGATGAGGATGATACCGATAAAACAGAAAAACACACTGAACAACATGTGTTCAAAAGGTCAAAAATAATCGAAAAAAAAACATTCAGTGGAAGAGTGGTCCCCGAACAGTATTTCCAATTCGAGAATGAATGAGTAATTTACCGACATGCAAATAATTAAAACCGGAATCCCCTATACATTATTTTAAAAAGATGATATCTACCAACCAATATGCTGGAAAACATAGTAGAACAAAGTAATTTGGATGCACTGCAACAGAAAATAAATAAATCATTGAATATGGCACAAGCGCAATTAAACCAATTTATTGGATCTGTTCTACTGATGTCGATATATGGTTTGCCAAGGACAAGATCATTTTGGCAGAAGGAAACACGTGTTGCTCAAATATTTGACACTATATCTAGGAATCGCTGGGAAGAAATAAAAACTAAAATTCATTTCAATAATAACGAAAATATGGTCAACAATAATGATAAGTAATACAAAATTAGACCATTCTTTAAAACAATATATGAAGAACAAATCCAAAAAATGGGGATACAAGGCATTTGTCTTGTGTGATAGCAATGGTATTGTTTATAACTGGGAATTATATACAGGAACTATTGAACATTCTCTTTATTTACCTAATGTAGGCACCCACTTATGTAGCATACTGTTAGCAAGAACTGATCAAGTCAAAATCAAAGGACGTCCCAGGCTCAGTGAAATTGAGAACGAAATTAAAAAAAAAAAACAGAAGAGAGGACCTACTGTTATTGTACCACCAAAGGAAGTTAGGTTCGACCAAACCTCCCACTGGCGAGTATTTTCTAAAAAAAAAAGGGAGATGCAAAAAACCAGGATACTGTAATACTACTGTAATAATAAGTTTTATGTTGCTCACAGTTGCCTAAGGGCAACACTCCCAAACTCCCCCCAAACAAAATTTAAAAAATCTTAAAAATTTTGATTGGTCGAAAAAATCTAAAGACAAATAGCAATCAGCAGTTAGACACAACGTAATGATATTCATTTTCCATTTTTCTTTGGTTGGCAGTGTGTATTTTTTGTCTTCTTATTTTGTTATAAAATAAAAATAAAAGTTTACAATATCTTGAAATCAGGAACAAGTTTCTACATAGTTTATTTATATCGATAAAGAAGCTGTTTATATAATGTGAAGCATCCATATTATTATAAAACACTCTTTTTTATTTTCATCGATACTCTTATTATTTTTTGGTCTGTTTGTTAGTATTTCTGTTCAATGTTACACCAATTTATATTTTGTAAGAATACGCTTACCTTAAAAGAGATCCATTGCTCATAATCAGTCACTTCAGCGGTGATTATCACAATAAGACAAGTAGTGGCGAATATCACTTTCATTGTCTTTTCTGAAATAAACGTATTAAATCATTCTTAACAATATTTAACCAGGCAATTGTGCTGTGGGGTGAAAATCACCCACGTTTATTCATTAGCGCTTGTTAAAATAATAGTAACATCGCCAGATTCTTTTGGCGCCACAATTACCTTTCCATAATGTAACAGAACTTGTATTGTATCATTTAGTTCAGTATTTAAATAAGATTTTAATAAATGGTGTCGTGTTCTTTGGGCTTGTGGGTGATTTTGACCCCACCACATAGTTGAAGTTCAGTATTATTTATTTTTTGGTAATTTTTACCCCACAACACAGATTCATTTTTAACAGGTAAGTTCTTATACTACCACAATTTATTTTGATTTTTTTAACAGAAACATAATTGAATTGGTAGGAATATTGAAAATTAATCAATTTCAGACATATAGAAACATGTGTAGTTGGGAGCAAGAACAAGAAGTCCTCTTGAAGCTTTGGCAGGATGAATTACTGGATTAGATTTTGGATCAGAAAGCAAATCTGAAAATTAAAGTCAGTAGGTTAGCCTTCGTCCCAGTGAGGGTGTTTTAGGAGACCAAGTTTTAGGAAACTGGAAAATTATCAGCCTCGAACTTCTAATCAGAAAATTTAATCATCGTCGGAAGAATCTTGTCAAGATAACGATGGATTTAAAGATGATTGAGTAAGACAATCTTAGGTTTTTATCGGGCGGGATGGGAAAACAAAGTGGGCAAAGAGCTGTCCTAATAAATTATATATTTATTTATATATAAATAATAAATTTTCTTGTCGTGTTCGGTTAGAACACGACAAGAAAATTTAATTACTCTTTTTCCCGGTGTTTGAAATGGTCTTGCTGGGAATTATTCATGTATAATATTATTCTAGAAAATATTGTCCAATGCACTAATAAAAAAATCAGTATAGTCGCTCAGAATTATAATGATCAATATAAGTATATTACCAAGCATACGGATGCAGAAGAAATTCGTGTAGTTTTCGGATAATTATATCTATCGGGAGTTTATAAAGCAAATAAGTTAAATCTGGAGGATCTTAGAGCTATAGATTGAACAGAAATTCACATTTTTAGGCTAACAATGTCCATGCAAAGATTTATGTTACTTTTAAAGTGTCTACGATTCGATAATATCGAAAGTAGAGAAGAACGAAAAAGTTAAAGCAAGACGGAAATACCTAACAATATTTTTGAATACCAAAAACAGAACTAAAAATCACGCAGTTTTCGGATTGAAAAAAGACATTTCTTTGTTGTCCTTCGTCTCGAGAAATATAACATAGTGTTAGTAGCTTCTTTTTTGCTCCTCAAAGTCAGTTTAGCATGGGGGCCGTACCGGAAATATAGCAAAAGGTTAAAGTCATATACTTGCCTAGGGTAGCTAAAGTATCAGATCTAACAACAAAGTCATATAGACCGATAAGCCTATCTTGTACTCTATTAAAACCGCAGGAAAGGCTTCTTGATAGGTATATCAGAGACGAAGTGCTAAAAGATCATCGTCTAAGCAATCATCAATATGCATACCAACCTGCAATCATCAATATGTAAATCTACGGACTCTGCATTGGATGATATAAATAGGCTTATCTCAAAGTCAATGGAAGACAAAGAGATACCAATGGCCGCTTTTTTAGATATAGAAGAGGCATTTAATAATGTTGCCACCAGCTCTTTGATAGGAGCTATGAGTAGACGAGGCGCATCTGCGGTAATATGCAGATGGATAAGGACATCTCTAGAGAATAGGACATTTATGTCCACTTTGGGTAAAGCAACCATAAAAGCAAAAGTAGGTGGAGGCTGCCCACAAGGAGGAGTTCTGTCCCTTCTACTTTGGGCAACCTTCGTAGATCATCTCCTCAGAAATTTGTCCACAGAAAGCTTTTATTGTCTAGGATGTGCTGACGATATAGCAATCGTTGTCAGGGGCAGGGTGTCTAAGAGAATGCAAACAGCCCTAAATATAGTTGACGACTGTTGTAAACAAGAGAGACTGATAGTCAATGCTCAGAAAACACAAATCGTTAACTTCACCAAAAAAACAGCACTACAATGCCTAAAATTATCGGTGCTGAGAAGAACAGAGATTTCATTTGCCAAAGAAATAAAATACCTTGGGGAATATTTTGATCATGGCTACTATGTCCCTGGGCAGATGTAGAAGAATGTGTGTTAGGATTCCGGGACTTAACCCCAAAATGACTCTATGATTATACACAAGGGTTATTAGAGCCATGATAACCTATGTCTTGGTGACGTGGTGGACAAAGACGCAGCAAGTGGCAGCAATAAGAAGGCTAGGTAATACATAAAGGCTATCATATCTGTGTATTACGAAAGCCATAAAAATAATCCCTACTGCATCGTTGGAGGTCCTGCTGAATCTACCACCACTTTATATATTTATAAAGGGCGAAGTTTGATCAGTGATACACAGATTAATCCATAGTCAGCGACATATAAGCCAGATGCATGGTACTGACAACAGAAAGCTAATCAAGGAGATTAAAAGCCGATATTGTGATGGGAAAATCTATCTATGCAACAGCTATGAGATATAGCTTTAACAATAAGTTCAAAATTAAGATACCAGGCAGGGAAAACTGGAATAAAGGTGTACTTATACAAGCTGCTGCTACCTGGTACATTAATGTCTCAAAAACATCGGAGGGTGTGGGTGCCGGCATAGGATGTGACAATTCTTCAGGTGGAAATAACTGCAATTTATCACTGCGTGGAAGAAATAGAAAGACGTTCTATTCAGTTATCATCTCCACAGATAGTCAGGCAGAGCTTGAGGCACTCAATTCTGTAGCGGTAAATTCTAAGCTGGTATGGAATTGCGTGTGTACCTTAAATAAACTGGGAGACCGTAGCAAGGTTACGGTAGACTGAATACCGGGGCACTAGGGTTATAAGGACAATAAAAAAACAGATAAAATGACCAAACAAGGCTCATCAATGCCATTCATTGGACCGAAAACCTTTTGCTGCGTTCCAAAGTCAATAAAAAGAACGGCTACAAGGAAGTGGGTAGCTCACAAATCTCTGAAATAGTGAAGAAAATTACCAGGACAAATACAAGGAAAACAGTTCATTACAGAACATTTGCCAAAACTTACGGCAAAGACAAAAAACAGTCAAATCCATAGTAGGTTTTCTAACCGGGCATTGTAAGCTGAATAGGCACTTGAAGCTGATGAGATTATCAATGATGACCTGTGCAGATTCTGTCACCTCAAAGAAGAAACAGCAGAGCACATTTTATGTCAGTGTGACAGTCTGGCAAATGTGCGTTTCTTTGCATTAGGAGAAGAAAATCTACCGACAAATAGCTACATGGAAGGTACAGTCTTGAAGCTACTAGACTTTATAAAAAGCGTCAGGTTGCAGAATATTATTTAGGACTAGAGGACCACAATAGATATTAAAAGGTCGTAGTGGAATGGACCGAAAGCCCACCTTTCTTAATCTAATCTACTGCAATCTAGTAGCTTCTTCACTTCATTATGATATAGACTTTGACCACAAATCAAATAAACCTGAGATTATATACTTTTATAATCACACAAAAGGTGGCTTGGATATGGTTCACGAAATGTCTGCGTTATATAATGTGACTCGTAATAGCAAGCGATGGCCTCTAACAATTTTTTACTTAATAATGCAAGAATAAATAGTTATGTTATTTATCAACACAATAAGCCAACTGATAAATTAAAACATAGATTTTTTTAAAAGAACTTGGTTTGGCACTAATTAAACCATATATATTGAAAAATGAAGTAACAATAAAGAATACCATTAGGCATAAGAGCGAAACTAAAAAGAAATGACAGCGGAGTGGACACTCAAGGACCTCCCAACAAGAAACAACGAAAAACATCCATATGTGGAGTGTATCCCCGTGGAAAGGACAGAAAGTGCCAAAAGAAATATGTGAAATGTAACTTTTTTCTTTGTTTTGAACATTGTGTATATTTTTGTTTTAAATGTGCAACAAATTTTTGATTATGGTATTTAAACAAAAGTTCTTGGTTACTTTTTATACATTTTTTATTTTTTATTTATTCTGTATCTGCAACAAAAATTTGGGTTAACAAATTAAATTTTAGTCTTTTATTTTTGAATCATTGAATTTTTTAACAGAAATTTTTAAAATAATATAAATTTGACAAAGGATATATTACAATATAACTATGATTTTAAATCTTAAGGTTACATGTAAAAATAAAATATTTTCTCAATTTTATAAATAAAAAAAATGGGTAGATAATTACTTAATTACTGTCAGAAAATATTAAACCATTTAAAGTAAAACGTGCTAAACATTAAATAAAAATGGATATATAAAGTTCAAGAGTATAATACATTTTGTTACAATCGAAATATTAAAAAAAATTATTAAAAAAGACACTTACCACAGACTTGAAACAGCTACAAAAAAATATAAGTATAATCTTAAATTTAAACGATTGTCTAAATTTTTTTAAGTGGCTATTAGATTAGATCTCATTTTATTAAATAACCGATTACATGGAATTATTTAGATTAAGATGAACGACAATCGATTTTTTTTCTTATCTTACCAATGTTTTTTCTAGATTTTCTTACTCCCATTGACTCGCCAATTTTATTTTTTTTTATGCTATTTTTGGTGGTCTGTGTTTTCTCCTAGTTGAAGATACATAGATAGATTAGGAGTTCGGCTTATCATATTTCTTGATTTATTGCTTTCACATGATGACTGAGTGATTGCCGGTATAAGCAATTTCTCACTTACTGACTAAGGGCTACAAGCGGACGAGTTGGTAAATGATAGGGTACTCTCTTGTACTGGAGTTGAAAAATCGACTCCAAAGGCGGATGAACCAAAGAATTGGTCAACGGCAGAAGAATGTGGAAGGCAACGTGAAACCACTACATTAAAGATCTTTAAATGAATATCTCTTGTCAATTATCATGGCTATTATAAATGACAATTTCACAACTACTTATCATGGATATCGGATACCAAGATCCGGCAGGGAAGGCAATTCTCAGTTGGACTGCGGGGCCTCCTAGATCACCAACATGGGAAAACCATGCGTCAGGCACAAAAATATAAACGAACTGCAGATAGGTACCTGGAATGTGTAGTCTAAGATTAGACTTAAAGTCAATATAATGGGACGCAAGACCAAATGACCTAGATCTGGCGAGATCGAAGTCGACAGTGCCAAAATATACTACTCAGGAAATGAAGATATTCACCACTATAATGGCATCGCGATAGTGGTTGATCGCAGTTTTTGCCAGACTGTAATTGGTTTTGTTCCTATATCGGATAGTGTGTTAATTATCACAGCCCAAACAGAGCATAGAACTCTTAATATCATACAGGTGTACGCCTCCACCGCAGATAAAGATAAAAATGAAATAGAAGGGTTCTACAATGACATTACAATAGCACTAGACAGCACCAATAATAGGGATATAACAATAACAATGGTGGATTTTACTGTCAAATTGGAAAAAGGTATATTCCGAGACATTATTGGAGAAATCGGACTAGAAATAAGGAACGAAAGAGGGAAGAGACTGACGGAATTCTGTCAGGAGTTTGAAATAATAGCGACAAATACATTCTTTTAGTTACCACTACATAGATTATATATATATATATATATATATATATATATACATATATATATATATATATATATATATATATATATATATATATATATATATATATATATATATATATATATATATATATATATATATGGAAAGCACCTGCGGATAGCAAACAAAAAATGATCAGAAACCAGATAGATTATATCCTTATCAATACGAGATACCGTAACTCCATAAAATCGGCAAATACATATCCAGGAACAGATGTGTCATCTGACCACAATCCAGTGGTCGTAAAATTCTAAATCCACTTAAAGAAAAAAAAATCAACAGAAGGCACAACAAATAAGTACTCTGCTAAAACATCCGAATATAAAAGGAGGACTAACGTTAAAAATTAACGAAGACTTAAGCAAAACAATGATCATTGATAATAAAGGTTTTAACGAAAATGGGAAACATTTAAGAACACATTAATGATGCCGATTAAAGATACGCTAGAGTAGTCACAATATCGATGAAGCTAACACTTCATGAAGCAACTAATGGACAAAAGAAGTTCATACAAAAACAAAAATGTAAATGAATACAAAGCCACACACAAGGAGACCAGGATAAAAATACGGGCAGCTAAAGAGAAGGGGTACAACGACAAATGTTTAGAGATAGAAGAACTCCAGAGAAGTCATGATAGTTTTGAATTGCACAAAAAAATTAAAGAATTAGCAGGTATAAGAAGGTCCAACTATAGTAACACCTGGTTGATACGAATGGTAAAATAATATCTTATATCAAAGGCAAACTAAACAGATGGAAAGAATACGTCCAAAAATTGTTTGAGGGCGAGAGGACACAACAAGATGAACGATTGCGAGGAACATGATATAAGTCCAAATATAACTAAGGTTGAAATAATACATACAATAAATCTGCCAAGATCTAATCAAACTGCAGGGCCTGACACAATTCCAACTGAAATAATTAAATTAATATCAGTGGATAAGATCAATGTATTAGTAGACTTATATAATACTATATATAATACGGGTATTATTCCGAGAGATTGGCTCAAATCAACATTAATTACATAACCAAAAAACCCAATGCAAGGGAATGTAATGATCACCGTATAATTAGTATAATGAGTCACACACTAAATATATTCTTAAAAATTATCCATTTAAAAATTTTCAGAAAAGTGGAACAAGACATCACTGAAACCCAATTTGGATTTAGGAATACCATGGGTACACGAGAGGCATTATTTGGATTTAACGTCCTCATGTAAAGATGTATGGATGTAAACCAACCACTTTATGTTTGTTTAATTGATTAAAATAAGGCGTTCGATAAGGTCCGACACAGCGGTCTTATACAGTTACTTAAAGGTAAACACATTGACAAAAAAGACTTAAGGGTAATAACTCATCTCTACTTTAGCCAAACAGCAAAAGTCAGAGTAGGCAAAAAACTTTCGGAGGAAGTAGAGATAAAAAGAGGCGTAAGGCAAGGTTGCATACTCTCCCCTTTATTATTCAATCTATACTACTCTCCAAAATTCACGCACCACCTAAAATGAACCATGATTTTAAAACTATATTTCTTCTGAACCCATAATTGGATTTTGATAATTTATTTTTCACATTGTAGATATATTTCTAATTAATGACTAGATTATTGTTTTTTTGAGAAATGTCAACGTTTGACCCATATACAGGGTGTAAAAATAAAGCTGTGTTTTTTCATCTAATTTTGCAACACCCTGTGGAATGCATTAGAAACAAACGCTACATGTTATTAATATTTTGAGATCGCTTCATTATTTGTCCACATTTTCGTAAAAAATCATTACGATATCTCTATTATCAAAAAAGAAAAGTAGATTCAAAGCATTATGTGATTTTTTACTCTCCAAAATTAACGCAGCACCTCAACTCTAACATATTTTTTAAGCTATTTTTTGTGTATCCTTTATACTATATTTTTGCTGAACATTTTTTTTTTGTATTTCAAAACTATTTCTAAATAATTACTGTATTAATGTTTTCTGGCAAATGTCAACGTTTGACCCATATACAGGGTGTAAAAATAAATCTAATTTTTCATCTTATTTTGGAACATTATATGTGGAATTTATTAAAAGCAAACGCTACATCTTATTAATATTTCGAAAAAGCTCTATTTTTTCCAACATTTTCCTAAAGAAATCATCGATATCTTTATTATTAAAAAAGATAAGTACGTTTAAACATAACGTGATTTTATCGAATTGTAATACTCATTAATGGAGCAGTTAGTTCGTTTATATTTAATGGACAAGAAGCTATTACAAAATAAAATGCTTTTGATAGATTTTGAAATTTTTATTAAATTTTATCTAAATTGGTATCTTCCCGGTCACATTTACACGATAAAAAAAGATTTGAAATTTACAAAATAGGGTAAGAATTGTCGTTGTTAATTTGGCAAAGATTGTGTCCTCTGGCGAGCTTCATATATCCCTGTTCTCCCCAGTCTTCACCCCAAGAATTTTTGATCAAAATGTACTCATCGGTGTAACCTGCAGCAAGTATGGCATGATTGATATTGGTTCCACAATCCCTTTCATCGAAAAGACCACCTGCATATAATGACCAAATAGTTGCATCGGCAGAGACAGAGATTGGTCCCACAGAAGCTAAAAAAATGTAAAAATAGTTGAAAAACCCCGCAATTTACATAAAGAAAAATAGTATTGAATGAAAATAGTATTTAAACATTTTTAGAACGTATAAGCGGCATATTGTATTCAAAAGTATTTATTATCATTGACCAAATTTTGTATACAGGGTAAATCACAAAATAAAATTACGATTTTTTAAATTTTTTTAATGGATCATCCTGTGTTATATTTTTTAGAAATATTGTATTTATAATAATCTTTCATTATTATATAGCATGCCCTATACATAAACTCATTATTTCCGAAATATTTTCAGTTTTCTCAAACTTTCGGGAATACATTCAATTTTTGTAGGTAGAAATAAGTATTGAGTATTGAGTGGTAATATAACAAAATTAATTTTTTATTTCAATAAGTAACTAACAAAAAATATAAACCATATTAATATGTAATAAATGTAACAATTAATGTGATTAATAACTGAGCAACATTTATTTACATTTGTAACTCAATTTTATTTTATTTATTATTTTTTTTTTATTTAAAATGAACGTGTCTCGACAGCTAATGGCCATTGACACGGGTACCGTTTACAACATTATACATATTTTATATTCAACAATTTTTTTTTGTGGAAAAATTAAAACACTAAAGCTTATCACTATGCTCTGTTTATATAAGTTGAATTAAACTTGTTTCTTTCAAAAATTTAAGATTACTGTCAAAACTGTTTTGACAATTTTGACAGTCATCTTACAAAAACCTAGAATGTCTTTCAAATTTCCTTTTAGGTTGTGATTGTTTCTGGAAGAATCATACTGACAGCAGTCCACTATCACGTGTTTGTTGGAAAGGAGGCTATTACAGTAGTGGCATACTGGAGGGTTTTGGACCTCTTTGAAGGCTAAGTTGAAAGAACATTCTGTTTTACGGCTTGGTCTGCTTTTTCGTTTCCCAATATACCAACATGTGATGGAGTCCAGATCATTATGACTTTTATGTTAGCACAATATAGTTGGTTACAGATGGCGTGGATTTTCTGGACTTGTGGGTTTTTCGAAAAAATGCATCTTATGGAATAAATCGAAGAAGAAGAATCAGAACAAATGGCGATTTTTATGCTTTCATTTGAAGTATGATGGATTGAAGTCTTCATTGCTTGGAGTATTTCATATAATTCTGCAGTGTAGATACTTCAACTTTTAGGCAATCACACAGAGCTTATTGTCGTCGTCAGTGTAGACACAGTGGAGTCCCAACAGTCTTCAGTCTTGGAAGCATCGGTGTATAAAATTGTATCAAATTGTGTTAAGTTAAGGATGTTTTGGAAGGTTTTTCTAAGGATTGAGTTTGGGGTTTTTGTTTTGTCGAATCTGCATAAATCTGTATTGAAAATTGAAAGATTGTGCATCCATGGAGCTGTCTTGGTGGTATAAATAGAAGTAGTATTGGAAAGGTTGATGGAATGTAATAAAGGAGATAATATTTGTGGTAATGTGAGAGATTGATTGAATGCAATTACTGAAGGAGGTTCTATGGAATTGATTGGATTTACTTCCGGGTTTCTTGGGTTTGCTGATATTCTTACAAAGTATGAAAGTAGACGCCTTCTTAGATAGAGAGGTGTCTTTGAATATTCAACGCAAACACTTTTAGCGGGGCTTGATTTGAAAGCACCAAGACATAATCGTAGGGATGTATTTTGAATCGTGTTTAGAGACTTTAGTAGGGAGGTACTAGATGCCATATAAAGAATAATGCCATAATCTAGATTAGAGCGAATTACCGTTCTATATATTTTAAGGAGAGATTCTTCATCAGCTCCCCAAGAGAAGGTAGCAAGAGATTTGAGTAAATGGATTCTTTGGGTACAGTTTCCTTTAAGTTTCTGAATATGGTATCTCCAGGTAAGCTTCTTATCAAAGGTGATACCAAGAAGTGTCAAATAATTAACTGTTTGTATACGAAGTCCGTTTAAAGTTATAGAAGGTGGATTACGTCTATTCTTTTTGGTAAAATAAATTAATTTGGATTTATTAGCTGAAAACACAAATCCAGCACGCGTAGACAAGGTGTCTATTTTGGTAATTGCATTTTGTAGCAAAGTGCTGGTGGTAGCTGTGACTCTGCCTTGGCAGTATAATATAAGATCATCAGCATATATCCAGTACCTGACTGGTGGTTCTATATATGAGGAAAAGTCATTCATGCTAAGTAAAAATAAGGAAGTGCTTAAAACTGAGCCCTGAGGCAAACCATTGTCCAAAGTATTTAAAAAAATTAACAAAATTGTAATTGTATTTTGTAGTTCACCCTGTATACAATTTTTTGTCAATAATTTCAAGTAAACCTAATTTAAAAGAATTATAAAAAAAATACAAATTTAAAAATATATAGGGTGTCTCATTTAAAAAATTGTATATTTGTATAATGCCACGTACATAGTTATTAATCACTCTATAAAATTCCACATATTTTCCAATTCTGAAGAATATCATTTTCTCAATCAGGTTTTTGGATATTTTATACCATAAAGGAATTATCTAACAATGTCGCACTAAAATATCACCCTGTATACGTACTAATCAACAGTATCTAATTATATATACTTACCAATAGCAGAAATCAAATCGCTTTCCTTTGCATTTAGATGTTTGTATCCGGAGATAGTATCAACAGTTTTGTGAACATTCTTTTGACATCTCTGGTCAACTCCTACGTAGGGGTAATCAGCATCAGAGCTAATTCCGTTTTTTTTAATAAATTTAAAACCCAATACTTGGTCTCCACCACTACAACCGTAATTATCCGTAGAGCAATCCACGAGATTCTGTGGACTCAAAGGAACTTTTTGGTTTTTGTGAATTGCTAGTTGTCCCTCCAAAGCAGCAGCCTAAAATGAATTGGTATTGTTTAAATTATATTTAATTTAAAAATAAGGGATATAGTTAAATACTGCTTGAATGCGTCTATAAGTTCTTCTGTTTAAACGAAATTTGCGCTGTAGCATTTAGTTATCTATATATCTTATTTACTGCGGTATAAAATAATACTTACGGTACTGAATGCCCAGCATGATCCACAGCTAGCCTGGTCTCTTACAGGCAATACTGCACCTTGGCTTCTCCAATCAACAGAAGACGCTAACTTAACATTTGGATCGGCGACGTAAACCCCCAAACTCTCGTTAAGCTTAGGTCTGGAAGCAGCTTGACGTGTTAATAGTTCCTTGAATTCTTCTTTGGTCCAATCGGCGAATGGAGTGACACCCTTGAACCATCCTACCTCTCCTTTGGCGTATCTTGCATTGTGTTCTTCGATTTCCCGAAGGTTGTCTTGGAAAATTTGGAATCTTAGTTTATCTTCTGTGATTTTATATTGCTTTGAATGTTTAGCCTAAAATGAATAAAACGAAAATAAGTTAATCATTCATAAACTCCCTAAAATGACAACATAACATAGGGCAAAAAGGCTGTTCAAATACTAATAAATGGTTTTTGTGTTTTCATATATAAGCTGTCCAAAAATTTTAATTTTATATCTTGACATAACAGCTATAACATTATAAACATATGAAAAATAAATATCTCACTTCTTCTTCTTCTTCAGATGCAAATCCACTAATGGATGTTAGCGATCACATTTTCCATTAATTCTCTATTTCTTGCAATATGTATCAGAGATTGTATGTCGTTAATCCCTGTCCATTGCCTTATGTTTCGGAGCCAGGACATTTTCTTGCGTTCCATTCCTCCCTTGCCTTCAATTTTACCCTCGATTATAAGTTGGAGGAACTCGTATTTTTCATTTCGCATGATGTGACATAGATACGCCGTTTTCCTTTTCTTGATGGTTTCGAAAAGTTGGCGTTCTTTGTTTATTCTTTTAAGGACATCTATATTTGTGATTTTCGCTGTCCATGGTATTTTTAGGATACGGCGATAAAGCCACATTTCGAAAGCTTCTAATCTGTTTATATCCCTCGTTTTGAGTGTCCAGCCCTCTACGGCATATAGCAGCACTGACCATACGTAGCACTTAGTAAACCTTAGTCTCAGTTGAAGATCGAACTCTGAACAAGTCAGTACCTTCTTGAATTTTACGAAAGCTTGTTGAGCTTGCTCAATGCGACATTTTACTTCCCTGTCCGATGCCCAGTCTTAAAAAAGCCACGATCCCAGGTATTTAAATTTACTCACTCTTTCTATGAGATGGATTTACTATTCAGTGTTATGGTGGAGTTTTCAAGTGCATCCAAGTTTCTGGAGATGATCATGAATTTGGTCTTTTTGGTATTAATCTCTAATCCCATTCTCCCACTGTATTCTCCGATTATAGTGACAAGTTGTTGAAGATCGACTATGTTGTCACAAATTAAGACACCATCATCAGCATATCGTATGTTGTTGATCATTACTCCATTCACCTTGATTCCCATCTCTGCATCCTCCAAAGACTCCTGAAATATGACTTCAGAATAAATGTTAAATAAAAGAGGGGAAAGCACACATTCCTGTCGAACGCCTCTTCTTATATGTATAGGCTTGGATATATAATGCGCTCTGCATTAGTTTATCCAGTTCATGGTTCATTTTAATTCTTCACGAACCATCGCTGCATTGGGTTAGTTCGAATATCTTCCTTAGTATTTTTCGATCAAATATTCTCAGTTGATTTTCATCAGTGGTTGAGAGGGTCCACGTTTCACATCCATATGTGACCACTGGTCTAATTAATGTGTTGTAGATTCTAAACTTTTTTGTTGTAATAGCTGTATTTTCGTACATCGTTTTTTTAGCTCTGTCTTTAGCCATTCTAAATGCTTTTTTGATCTCTCTGTCCATTCTTTTGTGCAGTATCTTGTCCTGATCTTTCACCTTTCGCCTTTTGTTCATCATATTTATAATCTTATTTGCCGTCCACGAGTTTTTCTTAATTTTTGTTGGTTTGAGCAATTTTTCTTGTATGTCTTGCGAAACTCTATGTAACTTTTTCAGCTCCTGGTTTGTAGCCTAACGTCGTATTTTGGGTTGACACTACGTCGAATCTTCTTTAGCCTGACCCTCATTTTGTAAATCATAATGTAATTTATTTGATTCGTGACTATGTGGCCTAAAGTATCTTGAGGTGATTACCACGTATATGATCTTCTTAATGTGTGTTTGAAGTAAGTGTTAGTAATTACAAACTAACTTCATTCTTCTGATACAAATGCAGCCAATCGGTCTCCTTGCTGATTTCTTCCTCCAAGTTTAAAATGTCCTATGAATTTCCTATTCATATTTCCCGTTTTTCCCCCACCAATCTTGGCATTTAAATTATCCATTATCAAGGTTAGATCTTTTTTGAAAAGGTGTTTCAAGGTTTTGGATAATTCATTATAGAATGCTTTACTTATGACTGTAGAAACATATACCTGGATAATGTTTGTTGTTATTGGGTAGGTATCAAGTTGATGGAGGAGCATTCTTTCCGATATGGGTACAAAGTTTTTGATATAACTGGCAGTTTCTTAATTTTAGATTATATCTACTCCATTTTCGTGTCTTTCGTTGGGGTTACCTAAATAATATATGTGATGATTGTTAATTTCACATTGCCCATAGTTCGTTCATCTCATTTCGCTTATTTTCATGATGTCTCTAAATAATATATGTGATGATTGTTAATTTCACATTGCCCAGAGTTCGTTCATCTCGTTCCGCTTATTTTCATGATGTCTATTAATAGTCTATTCATCTCATTGATTGCATTATGAGTCTTACTGACCTCGTATAATGTTTTAACATTCTATGTGCAGATCGTGAGTATTTTCTTTGTACTAAATATAAAGGTATATAATCATTCAATTAATTAATAAAAAAAAACACAAAAAAGTATCAAAAACAATTCAGTGACAAAAAAAGGGAGTATGAAAGCAAAGTATTTGGGAAACCTGCCATTGACGCTTCCCTAAAATTAGCAAATGTAGCAGTAATGTCTTGATTTAGTTCAGGTGTGCCTATATCTGGGGTATAAAATATACAGGACTCGTCAAAGCACACTTTATTGTGGGACACCAGCTCTAATCTATCTCAAGTCAGAATATGGTCCCTCCTGAGTGATTTTGAAGTATCTGATAAGTATTATTCTAACAGCAGATAGTACTGTTCTGGTAGGTAATAACTTTAATATAAAAAAGACAGATTGATTAGTGCGCATGCCTATCCAATCATTATATCTTTAATATGATGAAATAAAATAATAAAAAACATTAAACTACGAAAGTTCAAACTTCTTATAGTCTCGTTAAGGCTCGTTGCGTTGAGTCGTATATCATTCATTTTCTGGATTAATTTATTTTTTTGTCTGCATTCAATTTCTTCAAAAATACTCTCATATTTTGTTGTATTTGGCCTTTTAATATTTTTTTCCTTATAACACTTTGTTTTAGATTTTTTTATCTTTTGTCTGCTTTTAATTTCTTTAAAAATGGTTGTTGAAACTCTCGTATTTTGTTGTATTTGGACTTTGAGTATTTTCCGGTGAAGACTTATATTTAAGTATTTAAAGAAATCAGAACCATACGATAATTGTTACTATAAAAGAATATTCTTACCTTGAAAGAAACCCAGTGGTCGTAATCATTTAATTCAGCAGCGATTGCCACAATAAGACAAGCAAAAACAATGGACACTTTCATTATGCCTTTTCTAAAATATAAATAATAAACATTATTAAAAATATTTAGGCTGCATAAAAAAGATAACAAAACAAATAGTGGCAAGATTCAGTAGGAACAGAAAGTTATTAACAATATTTTACTTGCAATATTATTATCTTTATGTTTAGGTTCTCGGTACTAAAAAAACTGAATCTAAAGTAATGTTATCAAGAAGCAATAGTTCATGTACAGCTATAGAAGCAGCAAAATGACAGAAATATTTCGAAAAAATATATCAAGAAACTGATATAGAAGTAAAAATAATAACGAATACAGAACAAGATGATGAAGAAGAAGAATTGACCTATACAGAAATGAAAGCAAAAATATGCAAACTTTAAAACGATAAAATGCGGTGATGAAGAACTATACAGACAGATTTATGAACTAATACAGAAAAATATGGAACCAAAAAATAGTGCCCGAAGAATGGAAGAAGGGAATTATAGTGACAATCCCAAAACAAGGACCTACACGATTGGAGCCTCCATCAATTCAAGAAGTGCGGGATGCAATAAAACATCTAAAAAATAATAAATCTCCAGGAAGGAGTATACCCGCGGAACTTATTAAATGTGGAGGCGCTACCCTGACTAACCATATATATAAAATCATATTGAGAGCCTGGAATGAGCAACACAGCATACAGCTTACAAAATATTTTCGAGTATTTTATATAGTCGACTGAGTGCATATTCAGAGGAGCTTCTTGGTGAATATCAAAGTGGTTTTAGGCCTGATCGATCAACAACAGACCAGATCTTTGTGCTAAGGCAAAAAACCAATGAATTCAATATCGACACATACCATCTTTTCGTAGATTTTTAATCGGCTTATGATAGTGTCCTAAGAAATAAATTTTACAAAGCCATGGATGAATTTCACATCTCCGATAATCTGATAAGATTCATTAAGGCTACAATGCGTAAAGTTGTTTGCAAAGTCGAAATACAGGGCAAACATTCACAGGCATTTGAAACGCATGTTGGGCTGCAACAGGGAGATGCGCTGGCATGTCTTCTTTTCAACATAGCTCTGGAAAAGGCACTCAGCGATTCCCAAATAGACAACAGAAAAAACATTTTTAACAAATCATCCCAAATTTTGGCATATGCAAATGATGTTGACCTAGTTGCCAGCACAACAAGCAAACTAGAAGAAATGTATACCACCTTGTCAAATACCTTAAAAAATATGGGCCTGCAAGTAAATGAGGAGAAATCAACACCCGATAATAGAGCCAGAACTATCGGCCACCGATTCACTGTTAATAACTCTACCTTTGAAGTGGTGAACAAATTTACATACTTAGGCTCCCTGATCACCAAGGAGAACGTAATGACGAAAGAAATCAAGCGAAGAAAAATTCTAGCAAATAAATGCTATTTTGGATTGAGTGGGCATATGAGAAGCAGAAACTTAAGCCGAAATACAAAAGAAAATCATATATAAAACCCTTATACAACCAGTGTTGACAAATGGATCGGAGACTGATGATGTGTGAAAATGGTGTTTGAAGAAGAAGGTACAGCTATGAGATATATCACAGATATAAATATATATTTGATAGTAAAGACGTAGTATCTCTTACAAAAATAGCAAGACTCAGAGGGCAGGACTCAGAGAGCAAGATCCGAGCAGCATAACCCTCCTAGAAGAATCCTTACGTCACAACCTGTGGGAAGTAGAAGTAGGGATAGGCCAAACCTCAGATGAAAAGATGGTGTAGATGAGGATGGTAGAAAAATAGGCGCAGCAAACTGGCAACAGTTGGCAATGGATAGAACTGACTGGCGTAATAGACTTGGGAAGGTCAAAACTCTTTTAAGAGGGCTGTAGCACCAATGATGATGATCCCAAAACAAGGAGACCATAGAATATCCAAAAACTATCAAGCAATTAATAACCTGAATATAACATATAGTCACTGTCTAGCAATGGAGACCTGGACAAAGAAGTGAGACATCAATTACAAAAAGCAAATAGACTGGCAGGGCGCCTTAATAACACTATATAGCGAAACAGATACAATAACACTGAGATGAAATCAAGAATTTATAAATCCACTGTAAGACCTATAATGACATATGCCTCAGAAACAAGACCTGACACAGCCACAACGCTGACAAAATGAAGTGAAGACATTAGAAGGAAATATAACGTACAGTGTATAAATTAATGGACACAAAATAGAAAAAAAAAGAATGGAATAACCACATAAACAGAATTGTGTCGTCAAAATAGCAAGAGATAAGTCACCAATCGGCAGAAGAAGTATCGAACGATCGCGCAAAAGATGGAATGACAACCTTTCAAAGAGGTATTAATCCACCAATTAACAATTAGAATTGCTTATAAAGAGGAAGAAGAAGAAGAAGAAGAAGAACATAAAGTAATGACTGGTTTAATTAGAGAAAGACTAACAATATATATATATATATATAATATATATATATATATATATATATATATATATATATATATATATATATATATATATAGAACAAAGCATAGGGGATTACTAGTACGATTTTAGAAAAGGAAGATTAGATAAAACAAGTATTAGAAAAAACAAGAGTATGACGGAGAAAAACATTATACTTTTCCTAGACTTTAAACAGGTGTTTGACAAACTAAACAGAAGAAAAATTATATAAGAATTACAAGAGAGTAATATACCAAATAAACATTGACAGAAATGACAATACGAGATTCCCAAGCAATAATGACAATACGAGAAAGAAATAATAGGATATGCGGACAATATACAATAGTAGCAATAGATAAGTTATTATTGAGAGGCATTAAAGAAAACCTTCCAAGAAATAGAAAACGAAGCCAACCTGATAAGACTGGAAATAAATGAAAATAAAACAATACATAAACGTAAGCAAAAAAAAGAAGATATAAATGAGAGAACTAACAATAGATGCACACAGTTCCGAAGAGGTTAAAACATTGAAATATTTGGGAGTACTAGTCAACAGAAGAATCGAAAGAGTTGATATGAAAAGAAGAATTCAAACTAAAATTACAGCGTTTTATAGAAATAATAAAATCTTTAGAGATAAAAAGGTAAGCCGAAACACAAAAAGTAGTATATGTTGCAGAAACATTTACATTAACAGCAAGGGAAGAAGAGTAATTGGAAGTTCTTGAGAAGAAGATTATCATAAAAATACTGGAACCAAAGACGAAAAATGAAGAAGATGCAAGACAATGGATGAATCACGCAATACAAGAATGGATGGGTCAAAAAACATATATTGAAAGCAAAAAAAGAGAGAGAAGAGCAATCCATTAAAAGTTATAACGGAATGAATACTACCAGGTAAAAGAACCAAAGGCACACTTAAACCGAGATGGAGGCAACAAGTGAAAAAAGGCTCAGGGAGTATGGAAATAAGTAATATAGAAAGGACAATAAAAGAGAGAGAAGAATGAAGAAAAGTAGTGGAAACAGCGAAGTCACACCAACTGTAAAACTAAACCCAGAGTGAATGCGATGACCCCTAAAAGGATCTTCAAGTGAAAACAGCTTCAGCTTCTTCGGAAGTGTATAAGTTGAATATATATATACAGTAAATGAAACACTTACCTTATTCTTGACAAGCACTACAATAAAAAAATTCTATGAGTGTTCTGGCAAATTTCAACTATTATATACAATTGTTTGAAGATCCCATCAGATTAGATTTCATTGTATTGATTGATGACTTAATTATTTGATTGAAGAACACTTGATTGAACATCTATGTAGACGATCGATCTTTGAGATAGTATTTACATTTTTTTTATTTAAATATATATTTTTATGTCAAACAGAATCGAAACTATTAAAAGTTAATAGGTATATGTACGTTACTTTGATGTTATAATACTTCTGATATATTTCTGAATCAGTTCATTCATTCATTAAGCGGTAAAATTCCTAGTGATTATAGCTAACGCCATACCGTTCATAAACTTATTCTTGGACATTCTTGGATGAGGTCAATAAATTATTCTTCTATGTTATTTATAGCTTGCTGTGTGTCTTTGCTGCTATTGTGACTCTTTTCCATTTCTTCCTGTTCTTACATTAAACTTTCCAGACTTTAATAATCATTGTTCTCATATCTTCTTCTAGATCATCCATATATTTCTCTACATCTAGGCCATAGTTAGCCAGTTAGTTATCCTTCTTAGCACTATTGGGTGTGGGCGTCTCTGTATAAGACCTATCTATTCTTAGCGAAGGGATTTTATATATCTGACTATATTTTCTTCCTTTAAGTCTTCTTCAATTTCAGCATTTGTTTTTGTTCTTCTTTCTCCCTGTCTTGTTACATGGAAGTGCAGTACCGTTCTCATCATTTTTCAAATTTCAAAAGGCTCCCTTCCCCTTTCTTGTTAATCGTTGTTGTTTGCATCCTATAGGTCTTATTAAGGTATATAAAGGTTCATCTTTGCTCTCTTACTTAGAGTCTTACTTCCGTTCAGTTGCAGTACCTTTTTCAGTTTTTAGCCTTCCTGCCATGGTTCTGTACTATTAGATATTTCTGAGTTGTTGTGTCGTCCTTTATTATAGTCATGAATTTTGTTTTGTATTCTGATTTTTTCTAGAGCTATTCTCTTTACTTGCTTATCTTATTTTTCATTTGCTCTTGTAAGTGTCATCTCCGTTTTTACAAAGATGACTAGATGATCTTCGTAAGCTATTATTTGAAGTTGATCTGTAATAATGTTTTATTTACGAAGTTTGTCTTTGGACAGATTCAAACATAGTTATGCGGTTCGAATAATTGTATAATGCCCCTTTGTCCGCTTCTTCTTGATCGACAATGATCAGTACAATAAAACGTTGAAGTTGTGGAGAAAAAAATGTTGTCTTTATTGACAGCTATTACTAATTACACTATATAATTTAGTTAGGTAACTATGTATAATAGATTGTGCTCACATAAGCTGAAATCTCCAATTTATAATCTCACAAATAATGCATAACTCAATACAGAGGTTATTGCTTCTATCATACTAACAAACTTTGAACTATAAGCTTACAATACAATTTAATCTAGGCCGTAATTGCAACACTTAGGAAGTTCAATAGGAAAATATATTATTCGACAATTTATTAACAGGTGAACGTACTTTAATTTTATCCTTAAGGACGTTGGCCATTACATTTGCCCATTTAATCTTATTTGTAGCAGCCCTAAATAGTTCTATGGAGGTCATGTTCGTCCATTGCCGTAGGTTTTTAAGCCAAAAATTGCGTCTTCTTCCTGGTCCTCTTTTCCTAATGACTTTGCCTTCGATTATAAGTTGGAGCAGTTCATACTTTTGATTTCTTATGATGTGACCAAAATATTGTGTTTTCCGCTCTTTTATTATAAGCATATGCTCTCTTTCCTTATTCATCCTCCGCAAGACTTCCGCATTTGTCGTATGGCTCATGTAGGATATTCTGAGCATTTTACGGTAACACCAGTGTTCGAATGCTTGGATTCTTTTTTGTGTTGTTTCTGTCATTGTCCAGGTTTCAACACCATAGAGCAAGGTGGACAAAACATAGCACTTAAGTATTCTAGTTCTCAATGAGATGCCCAGCTGGCGGTTGCATAGAACTTTTTGCATTTTGTAAAACATTGTACGTGCCTTTTCCAGGCGTATTCTTATCTCTAGAATATAATTTTACAATGTCTCAATTATACACGGTGAAACTATAAAATATTAAGAAGTTAGAAATAATGTGGGATTACAAATTAAGGGATTAATTTGTGATTGAACATATTGGCCACCATATAAAAGTAATAGATAAAATATTTAAACACATATAATATATATTCACTCAAAACTATCTATTTCAAATCTAATCTCATTCAGTGAAACTGATCTAGGAAGTGCCTTCTCTAAAGTTTTACCTAAATTTAGTTGTAATACCGTATGACTTCGAGGCGTTTGATGAGGTTGAATGCAAAAACCTTGATGCCTTTGTTTTCTGGCTGTCTTGGAGTTTCGAACATATCTGACTACCTTCCTTTATTTTCATGTCACTTAAAATTGGTGTAAGTTATTGTTATCTACTGTAAGTAGATTCCTTGGGATCATCAATGAACGCACAACACCACCTCTTCTTAAATAGCTCACGGCATTCTCTTGTTATTTTTGACGATCCGTCGTAACTGTTGTCACCTCTGGTCCCACTAGATTTGGGTCTATTTTGTGAACTTCTGTTTTCAGAATTTTGTCTGTTATCATACTGACCTTCTAACTCACTAAAATTTGGTCTATTTTGTGGCCTTCTGTTTTTAGAATTCCTTTTGTTATCATACTGACACCTACTAGCATTTTGTCAATTTTGTGGTCTTCTGTTTTCAGAATTCCTTCTGTTATCATACTGACCTTCTGGCATGTGTAGTAATGAATGATGCTGTCCACTACAGTCTGCACATCTATAAGATGAATAACATGGTAGTTCCCTTTTGTGTAGTAGGCATTTTTACTGCACCATTGCTTTTTCTTTCAAAAATTTTCGTAAATTATTTAAAAACTTTGTTATTTATTGATCTAGTTTTTCTTGTTCTGCATATAATCTCTGCATTGCGATTATGTAAGTATATAAGTTTGACCAAAATTTAACTTTTAAAGTCTCAGCAAGATTACCTTACACAACAACGCAATGAACTTGTTAACAAATGTAATATTATCACTTGTAACCCGAGAAATAGATTCTATATAAATAAAAAAAATGCAAATACTACAAGGTCTATATATTTGGAATTAAATGAACTATGTGTATAAAAAGAATAATTTGTCAAGTATTTCAATATATTATGAAAATCAACTGGAACTGGTGAGCTGGATCTCTGGATGCTGCTAGATTTTTCTGCTAGAAACTGGACCTCCAAACTGCTGGAACAATAAGAACTGATATTTAGGTTCTCTAATAATCAAAGGCTCTCGTAAGGCTGCTACCCCTAATTTCGGTGCTTTCTGTTGTTTTGCCGAAGGACCAATGGACAGATTCCAATTTAGTTATGAAGTTCGAATCGTTTTATAATGCCCCTTTGTCCGCTACTTCTCGATCGACAATGATCAATACAATAAAACGTTGAAGTTGTGAGAAAAAAAAAATGTTGGTTTTATTGACAGCTACTACTACTGCCAAAAAAAGCAAACACAAAGGAGTGCAACGAATATCGTACGATAACTTTGATGAGTCATGCTCTAAAACTGTTCTTAAAAATAATCCATAATAGGATCTATAGGAAATTAGACGTAGACATCAGTAACACTCAGATGGGATTCAGAAAAGGGCTGGGTACAAGAGAGGTTCTGTTTGCAATGAACGTTCTCTCACAGAGATGCTTAGACATGAACCAAGAAATTTACGCCTGCTTTATTGATTTTGAAAAGGCCTTTGACAAAATACAACATGAACCACTAAGACAAGTTCTAATAAAGAAAAATATAGACAGCCCAGATATTCGAATTATATGCAATATATATTGGAATCAAACAGCAAATGTCAAGGTTGAGAGCAGACTAACAGAAGAAATTCAAATCCGTCGAGGAGTCCGGCAGGGATGTATCTTATCGTCACTTTTATTTAATCTGTATAGTGAAGCTATCTGTGAACAAGCACTCGAGGAAGAAGATCTTGGTCTGATAATGAATGGTGAGACGATCAACAATATATGGTATGCTGACGATACAGTTCTCCTAACGAAAACGCTAGTAGAACTACAACATCTCGTTCAAAGGCTCAATATATACTGTAACAGTTACGGCTTGAAAATTAATTTAAAAAAAAACTAAATTTATGGTAATCACGAAATCAAAGAACATCAGAGCTAATCTTGTAATAGACAATACAACGATTGAGCGTGTGCCCTGTTATAAATATCTAGGTGCTTGGATCACAGACGATACTGATTAAACAAAAGAGATTAGATGTAGAATAGAAATCGCTAGATCAGTCTTTAATAGAATGCGCAAACTCTTTTGCAATCGAGATATCAATATAAAGTTACGAATTCGAATGCTGCGGTGTTATGTCTTTTCTACCCTGTTATATGGAGTTAAGGCTTGGACACTAAAACAGTTGAAGCTTTCGAGATGTGGTGCTATAGGCGCATTCTCAGAATATCATGGATAGACCGCGTCACTAACACGCAAGTACTCCAAACTTTAGACAAAAGATGCGAAATTCTAAATGATATAAAAACTAGAAAGATGGAATACTTGGAGCACATTGTGAGAGGTGAAAAGTACGAACTTTCAAGAAACATCATGCAGGGCAAAATTAAGGGCAAAAGAAGTGTGGGAAGAAGAAAAATATCGTGGCTTCGTAATCTACGTGAATGGTTCGGGTGTAGTTCGATTGAACTTTTTATGCGCGCTTCTAACAAAGTCGCAGTGGCCATGATGATTTCCAATCTCCGCTAGGAGTGGCACGAGAAGAAGAAGAATAATTACACTATATGGATGTTAGTTAAGTAACTATGTATAATAGACTGCGCTTACATGAGGTCAAATCCCCAATTTATAATCTCACAAATAATGCATACCTCAGCAAAGAAGTTAAGAATAATGCGATATCACAAATTAAGGGATTAATTTGTGATTGAACAGTCTTCCTTATTATTGC